TTGTGCCGCACGTTTCGTGATTCGGGCCGTATTGTCCAGGCAGTATTTGTCTCGCCCTCCTCTCCAGGACCGCGACTTTTCGCTGCTGCTCTGTCTTTTGGGCTCTACCCCCGCCAGTCGGGAGCGTCCAAGAACGGGGGCGTCCCAAGAGGGGCTTGGCACATTTGGGCCTCCCAGATTCGAGGAGGAAGAAGAGACGCCATAAACATAAACATTTGGCGCTCTGCGCGGATTCCTTGGGTCCGCGCTGAGCCCCCCCCGTCGGCGCCTCCAGCACCGCCCCTGGCACGCTCCGCGCGCCAGGGAGCGGGGTCCAGCGCAGATCAAAGAAACCCGCGCGGAGCACCACAAGTTGATGTTTATGGAGTTGTTCTTCTTCGAATCTGGGCCTCCCAAATGGGGTCGGAGTAGATGGGTCGGGGGATCGCGCCGCGTCGCCGATGCATCGGCAAGGCGGCTCGATACCGAGCCCGATCTTCGCCACGCCGACGGCGGCGATGCATCGCCGACGTCGCCGATGCATCGCCCATGCGTCGCGATGCGGCGCGATCCTTCGACCCCATCTACTCGGGCCCGTTCGGGGGCCTCTAGTTATAGTTCTGGAGGGCCTCTCGGGGGAGAACCCGCCGTCCTCGACCTGAGCACATTGTGGTTGTGGTTGTGGTCGATCTGGCCGTCCTGGGCCCCCACATCGACCACAGCCAGGACGAAACTGGTTTCGGTGTTCCGACAGCTCTTGGCATGCGCAAGACATCCCCTAAGATGTGTCCCCGATGTGGTTGCGGTCGCCTGCTGTCCCCGCAGAGGGGTGTGGGGTACAGGAGGAGTGCTTCTGCTGGCGGGGGATCCTGCTACTTTTTACGTCGCAGCGCGGCAGAGGCAATCCGCACGCGCGTCCGAGTGACACTGGGGCGCGGAGTCACGACTTAGCCCACGTGCGAGAGGGGAGGACAAGAGGAGGGGGCGGCCGCGGGAGGGGCGGGAGCGCGGGCGCAGCGGGGCTGCAGCGGGGCGTGGGCGCGGCCAGGCGGAGACTCCACACTGGCAGCGGCCGCGGGTCGGCCTAGCAGCGCGCCAAGGGTGGGAGGCCAGCAGCCACAGTGCGGGCGTGAGCCAGCAAGACCCCGGGCAGCGCCAAGGGAGGCGGCGGCGGCTGAAAGCCAGGTGGCCGGCGGAAGAAGGGCAGCGGCGTGGAGCCGGCGGCGAGAGGTCGGCCGGCGCTGGGGGTCCTGATGCGCACCTTCCCGGATTCCCTGGCTCCCTCGTCTTCTGTCAGTGCGTCCCCGTCCCCCCTGGGCCGCACACGTGCCTCGGGCCATGCTTGGCGAATGCCCTTCTTGGGCGCCCCCTCGTGGACGCCCCCGAGGTGGGCCACGTGGGCTTTGCAGGCCGATGGCTTCCTAATGTTGTGAAGGTCGTCGAGATGGAGAATGGCGCGGGCGGGCGTTTTCAGAGGGCCGCGCAGACTTCCTGGGTCGGCATCACTCCCCCTTCCCAGCAGCCCCCTGGCAACGCCTCCAGCGCTGGCTGCCCCCAGCGCGCTCCGCGTGCTGGGAAAGGGTGGGGAAGGGGGGTTCAGCGCCGACCGAGGAGCCCTGCTCGGTCCTCCGCAGTTTTTGTCGATGCAGTTTGTTTGTCTCTTGGTTTCAGCCCAGAAGAGCTTCGGGCCTCCATCTGAGCAGTGTTGCTCGGAAGTGGCGAGTCGCCAGCCTGTGGCGAATTTTCAGCCTCGCGTTCCGCCGAATGGCCTGGCTTGATTCAGTGAGTTTCGCCGTTGTGCCGAGGGGCCGTGCGTCTGGCAAAGGCCTCGCCGTGGCCTGCCGGCGCTCCCGCGCGGAGCTGTGCGCACCCCTCGGTCACATCGCCTCTGCGACTCCCTCCAGCCTCTGGGTCTCGGCAGTCCTTCCCGCCTCCCCGCCCTGACTGCTTGGCCTCATCCAGGGCGGGTGGGGCCGTCCCGTCTTCTGCATGCGCCAGAGACGTGCCGCTGCTGGTCTGCCGCTCGCACGTGGCCCCCGCCCTCTCACGGCGCATCGCCGATGGCGCTGCCCGTGCTCGCGCCATTCTCACAGCTGCATGCGAGCGGCCGCGCGTGCCAAGCAGACAGGCGCAGCTCACTCGGCCCTGGGCACGCGTCCAGTCCAAAAAGCTCCGCATATAAAGCAAATACAATGTCGGGGCTCTGGGGCCCCTGGCAGGCCCTGGGGTCTCTGTTAGTGTCCCCGCCCCCCAGGTTAGATCCCTCCCTCCAGTGCCTCGATGATGAAGCTTCGGGGCACCTGGGGGGCCCAAGATTGCCCAGAAGGTTCCCAGTACGCCTCAAGACCGCCCACGAGGCCTCCAAGTCGAGCCAACAGAGCATCAATCCGTCGACCCCCACTTGCTGGCGGTGTAAAGGCGACCGAGATGATTGGCTGTCCCCCTCCTCCTTTCCCCGTCCCCCAGCCCACAATCCCATTAAAGGGGTGCGGGCCGGGGGGAAGGAGGGCGGGACGAGCTTCTCAACGCACCCCAGGGGCCTTTGAGGCCTCCCAATCCATCCTCGTCGCCTCCAAGATGCCCCGATTGCCTTCGAATATGGCTCCAGATAGGCTTCCACACACTGGAGAGACCTCCAGAATATCCAGGACACCCCAACCATTGTTTTCGCATTGGTTTCGAATGATTTGCACGGTCTTTCTTTTTCGGCCTTCGGGGAATCTTGCATGACCCGAGGGTCTCCCAGATCGGCCAAAGACGGCCCAAGGGGCCCCCAAGAGGGACCGACAACGGCCCTAGAGGGCCCCAAGACTGCCCAAGAGGCCCCCAAGACGGCCAACAGAAGCTTCGAAGAGGGTCCCAAGAAGGGCCCAAGAGGGGGAAGGGCCCGTGGGGTTAAGTCGGGCATGTCCCTCTACAGGAGGAATCTTCAAACATAGTACAGTAAAGCATAGTCTGGGGACGTTGTTTCGTCTTGTTTGTTTTCTGTTTTCGTCTAAAACCCGCCTATAGGGGGACATGCCCGACTTAACCCTTGAGCCCCTTCCACGAGGTAGCCACGAAGACCCCCAACATGCCCCCAAGAGGCCTCCAAGAATCACCCGAGGGGGTGCTCCAAAGCCCACAGGAGTGTCTCCTCCTCCTCCTCCTCGTCCTCCTCCTCCCCGATCCTCCTCCTCCTCCTCCTCGATCTTCCTCGATCCTCTGGTTCCTCGAGTTCCTAAGAGGCGTAGCCGGCTTGGCTAACCACACCTACCTACTTGAAAGCAGGATCCGCTTCGAGGTCAGGACCTTGCCTCACACCTCGGGGCCCGAAACAAAACCTCAACATTGGCCCCCTCGGACCTCTCGGCTACCTGCGGAGTCGAAGCACGAGCGAGCGGGAACGGCAGTCCCCAGAAGACATCGGCCTGGGGCTCACGACCAGCCAGCAGGCGATCCAGGGCGAACCGACCGAGGCGAGCCGAGTCCCGAGAACGCGAAATTCAGGGGCAACAGACCTGGGCGAGACCGTGGGTCTGCCTGCGGGCCTCCAGCAGACGCGGAGGACTAGGAGGCCAAATCAGCAGCAATTACTCGCAGGCAGCACGAAGGAAGAGCTCGGAAGCCTCACATATCTTCTGAGGGTCGGCGGAATGGCGTAAGCCTCTCGAGTTTGATTCTCCGGCGTGTTGCTTCTTTATGTTTGATTTCGTGCCTCCCTAGGGGCAGAGAGCACCCGATGATTCACAAGATCTTCCAAGGGTGTCCGACGACGGTGTCGGACGGTCTCCTGAGGGCCCCGACATGATGTGTCGTATGCTCACCGAGCACGCTGGCTTACCCCATCCCCTCCGCTGCCCTGGATTCTCACCGCCCACCAAACCACCCCAACCTAACCCGAAGGCCCCGATTTGCCCTTCATTTCCAGTGGGGGGGGGTGCGGGGAACACTGCCAAAACCACACATGAAGCCCGTACCCCTCTCCCCAACCCGAAATTCTGGCGAAATTCGAGTCTTTGGGTTGGGTTGGGGTGGTCTGGTAGGTAGCCAGAATCCATCCACATGCTCCTCGTCGCTGCTGTGCAGAGCAGTTCCACACTGTGGGGAGCGTTGGGGGCGAGGTCGGCGAGGGACGCCTATACCGCGATGCCTCACAGCGCCTTCCTGTGATGCTCCTGTCGGGCCGACAGGAGCATGTCCCTCTACAGGGGGAATGTTCAAACATAGTCAACAAAGTAGCCTGGGAACGATTTTTCGATTTGTTTGACAATGTGTGCATAGATTGTGACTATTTCCCCAGACGTTTCGTGTGGTTTGGGTGTTCGTCCCGCGTCTCACCCGCGAAGCTCACCTCACCTCCCTTCTCCCTTCCTCCGCTCCCTTCCTCCCCTCACCCACGCGCAACACATGCTCGGCACGTGTCTACATACCGCCGCACGCATGCACACACTTGCAGACACGCACACCATACAATGATAGCGCGCACCTGGCGTGTTCACTGCATGCATCATACACCCAAGACGTGTGCACCACATGCTGGGCATCCACACGAGAGGGACACGCCCACATAAAACCGCACACGCATCTTGCACAGGACACAACCATCACAGAACACATACGCGCAATATTCACTGAGCGTGACAGGCGTGGCAGGCGTGCTGCATCATCCACCCAATACGTATGCGCACGGTCGTCCAGGCACAGCAGGCGTTGCATGTTCTCGACATCAGAAAGGGGTATGCGGGGCTTCCCTTCGAGACTTGGCTTCGCGAGTTTTGCCACAATCATCTGGCCTTGGGTGCGCAGACCCTCAGGTAACGTCTGGGTCTGGGGCTCGAGCTCCCAGTCCACCCTGTGGTGCATTTTGCTAGTTCGTCGCGTGTCCGCGTCCGCGCTGTCTTCCCTTGTCATCATCCTCCCGAGGACGGCGAATACTTTGTTGACCACTGCGGGGTCCAGATGCGCCGTGCATCTGTGTCTCTTCGGCGACCAAGTCGCGCATCACCCCTTCGGAAGTCGCCTTGTGGCCGCATGCTCAGGCGGTGTCCCGTTACGCGCAGGACGTGCTCGAGACGGATCCGGTGCTGCCCGTCTCGTCGCCCGCGGTGCTCCCCGTGAGCATGTGCTGCGCCGCCTGACCGACGGACTCCACGTGCGCCGCGCAATGCCCGAATCGCACCACGATGCCCCGGTTGCCGCTGAGTCCGCGCGGCATGGCCAGCGCGCGGAGAAAGCGCCGGCTGGCAAGCGGAGGGCCGGCCGCGGGCAAGTGCCGACACATCAGCTGGCACGATGCCAGGCCCTCGAGCCCAAAGGGCCACGGGAGGCGTGCCGCACGTATGCTCTTGGGGCATGCCTGGCGTGGCGTGCTCTGCTTCCGCTTCTGCGCGTTTCTCCTTTTGTCCTTCGCCTGTCTTGCTGCGTCCTGTCCTTCCCTCATTCTTGGGGCCACAGGGCACGGACGAGGAGGAGTAGGAACAGCGGAGGAGAAGTTTGAGGAATAGGGGGAAGAGGTGGAGAAGAGATGCCAGAAGAGAGGGTGGCGGGAGGCGGAGCAGCGGCAGGCAGGATGGGCCCTTCTCCACAGCTCCCCCTCCCGAACGGATGTCACTGGCTGCCTTCCACTCCCCCCCCACCCTCTGCTGCTGGAGCAGCGGCGGCGGGGAGCGGGATGGAGGGCCCCGGGTAGGAGTACGGGCCGCCCATTGACGTGTGGGCCCTGGGTTGCGCCTTGTTCGAGCTGTTCACAGGGAGCGGGGGTGGGGGGGTTGGCTGCCTCCTTCGTCGGGTGCATCGGGTTGTTCTCCTCTTCTGTCCCTCGAGTCCGTCATCTCGCTGTTGAAGCCAGCTCGTCCACCTCCTTCCCTAAGCATGTGCGTTTTCCTCACGGTCTTCTCCCAAGTCCTTCATCCTACCTCGACGTCGATTACAGTGGGGGCCCATGCCAAGAAACACCCTGCTTGCCTCCAGGGTGCCCTGGGTTTCTTGGGTTTCGACGGTTTTGCGATGGAAGGCGTGACGTTCCCACACCAAAAATCAATGTAGACCTGGGGTCTCAGGGTTGCGTTTCTTGTGGAAGGTTTCTTGTGGACGGACCTCCTCTGTAGTGTGCTCTTGTTTTCCTCTTCCTCTAGCTCACCTCCTGTCTGGCATACCGAGGGTTGACTGGCGTCCGAAGGTTTTATCTACTTGGAGGGACAATAGGCACAGACACAAATGATCGTCGACGCTCTGGACTTTAAACGGAGAAGGTTAAAGGCGAGGTATAAATCGAGCATGTACCGCTGCCGTGCCTGGCTCAAGCCGGGCCCGGCAAGATATGTGACTGTGCCTCACTGAGGCGCACTACTTGCATCCGAGATCGGAAAACATCCTTTTCCATTGACGATGCCCATCCTACTCTTTACTCCAGATCCCATGCTTCGTCTCGCTCTCTTGCTCATGCGCTATGAGCCTAAGCCTGGGATATGGAAGCGCCTAAGGCGGACTGTATACCTAAGCTTACCAGCTTGTTTTCGACTTGGTAGCGGAGCTGGCTACACTCTCGTGTGGCTGGCTCTCGCTCTGATTCCTGTAATCCACGGCACAACTTGGTGGACTACTACTACGGTGGAATACCATGTTGCGCCGGCTCTGCGAGGAGCGGAGCCAGTCCGCGATCGAGCTAGCGGGGCAACCCGCGAACTCGAGACGCTCTCTCCTACCTCACTGCGCTACTTCACTCCCGACTTCCACCAGATGCCAATCGGCAACTCGATCGAGAACGTGGTCACCCTGCGGGGCTACCCGCAGCGGGGCCACCTGCATCCCGTGCCGGTCAGGCGCCTCACGGCTACCACGCCAGAGCCTGACAAACCACAGCCCAAACCAATCACCGAAGCCGAAATGCACATGCATTGGATCAAGATAACTATCTTCGGCATTCTGTGGGTAATAATGGGATGTGCTGTGGGATACATGCGGCAGGGGATGGACGACACGCGTACTACTGGCCCTTCATGGGACCCTGCCGGTACTACGCCTTTTCGCGAATATGTTCGCGAAGTACATGCATGGTTAAACGTAACGAGCGGCAATATGACACCACCACAACAAGCTGCAGCACTACAACGAGGCCTTCAAGGTCTGGCTCGTCGTATCGCCATGCAGGTCCCCTCCCAGATCATCAATTATGGTGTAACTGTCAATGGACAGCCAACGGATGCAGTAACCTACATACTGTACTTACTGAGCACCAAATTTGAAAATCTGGAAGATGAGCGCCAGCTCAACTCTGGCACGGCCCTTATCGACTTCCGCGTCGAAAGGGGCGAGCGAATCGACTCAGTATTAGCTCGATTCGAGATGGCCCGTGACGAGGCTAACTCTGTTGGCTTTGTCATCCCCAACTTTCAGATCCTAACGCTGATTCTCTTCAGAGCGTTAGGCGTTGGCGCGTCACGAGCCCAACACCTGCTCGAGCCCTTCAATCATCAGATGCCCCGAACACAAGCAGACTATGACAGGCTGTTGACCAGGATGAGGAACTACGGACATGTTGCCGAGCGCTCTCCTGGTAACATAGCGGGTATCTTCACAGGGCACCACTCACATGCAGGTGTTTACGCCACGACTGCGGGGTCACCCGCTGGTCCTGGCGAGCCAAATCCCTGGGCTGACCCAGCCGATATGCCCAACGAGGCCACTGCCCTTCTAGGGCAGACCGGCCAGGTATCGGCAGAGGCAGCTGAGGCGAACGCCTGGTCGAACTACTCGCCAGGCGCCGCCTACACTGCAAGCCCGCCCTCGGGCACAACCCTCTGGGGCCAAGCGGAGTCATCCGCTCAATGGTCTCAGCCACCCTCACCGTTTGAATCTGGCACTGACACAGATACTTCATCTGACGATGAGCACAATGGAATAGTCTCTGCTGGTAATGACTATCCAGCGGACGACACTCACCTTTCTGAACAGCAAAGGGCGGAAGCCGCCTTTATGGCTTATCGCAAATCAAAACGCCGTTGGAGGCGCTTTATGAAGAAACCAGTCAGAAAGGTGAGACGTGCAGTACGCCGACATTTCAAACAATTTGGAAAGGGTCGTGGTAAAGGGGGTCGCAGACGCCGTATGCATGGTAGGGGTATTACTGCTTTCCTCACGTCCTTAACTGATATGGCTTTTGAAGAAGTTCTTATCGGAGGCAAAGGTCGAGGTCACAGGCGGACCTCCGGTAAGGGAAGGGACGGAGGGGCAACCCTAGGGACGCTTCTGGTAACACTATGAAGTGTCATACATGCGGTAGCACAGAGCATTTGCGCGATCAATGCCCGAAGGGGAAAGGAAAGGGATCCGTACATTTGGCTCAAAACTCTTTTATGGATGACATAGATTATATTGACTACGAGTTTTACGTCAATCCAGAAGCGGCTCCCGCTGCGGGCTCCTCCACGTATTACGTGATGGCCCGCTATGCTGAAGCAACTGTGGCCCTGGAAGACTACGCAGTGACGCTCTTCGACGAGTTCCACGGCTGGGACGAGGTCGATGAGATTGCGTACAACGCTTGGTTCGGTCTTCCAGCGGGGCCACCCGCCGGTGACGAGGTCTCCGAAGCCGAGACCGTCCCGGCAACAGAGGAAGAACTCACCGCCGCGCTGGCCCCACAAGTGATTGGCATGCCGTTGCTGCCAAATCCGTCGGGGGCTGGTTCGGAGATGGGAGACGCCGATGACGAAATGCGGGGCCATCCCGCGTATTCCGATTCCGAAGAATCCGAAGAAGATTACAACGACATGCTCCAAGAGCAGGTTTCAGAAGCAATCCGACTCTTGAGTGCGCCAGCACAGCAGCAGATGACGATGAACGAACTGCTGTCACACCCAGGAGTTGCACGTCTACGTCCATACTTGGATTCGAACATGTCAGCATCTCAGATGCTCACAGCACTCCAAGCTCTAGCGGGGTCACCCGCCGAGGAGATGCTAGACACAACAGCGGGGCCACCCGCTTGGTCTATGGATGTATTCATGCAAGGTTGCGATCAAATGAATATTAACGACCTCTCGATGGAGCAGTTAAATGACATCGGATACTTCAGGAGCCCGTATCAAAACGTGTTCATGGCCCAGGACAGCTCAGAGGACTCGGATGAAATGCGGTACGCCAAGAGGGACAGGCGACCGTCGCCTCCCCGAGACTCCGAGCAGGACGATCAAAGGCCAGTGACACATGGTAGTGCGTCGGCGGGGCCAGCCCGCGGAAGGAGCCGCTCTGCTCCTAGACGCCCTACGCACGACGAATCGGGCTACCCATATAGCACTGAGCACTCCGTTGGAGTATCTGCTCAGCAGGTGCCGGATTGGTACATTAAATGGTACCCCGGCTATTCTATGGAGACTCTTCGGCATTGGTATTCTAAGGAATACTGCACCAAAAGGGGCGAGACTGGCGCAATAATCCGCACCAAGGGCGGCAAAACCAAGACGCCAGAGGCCTGGGACAAAAGGGCGAAGAAGCAGGAGATCATCACTGACCGCAAAACGTACAGAAAACAGGTGTGTCAGTGTGAGCCCTTTAAAGGCCACATGCGCAGGTGTCCGATGGACCGCCCTTCCAGGAGCCCTCACCACGGAGAGACCCCGTGGAATTGGTCTCATGGAGACGACGCTGGCAACGTCCATGACCCAAACAAAGAGGTTCCTGGAGGGGGGAAGCGCATCACTGAGGCCGATCGCGTCCCTATGACCGAAGAAGTGGCCAACGCCGTCAGGGAGAATTGGGCAAAGCTCCCCAATGACCATCGCCTCAAGGAGTGGAACCGCCGATTCCACAAGGAGGCGGGGTCACCCGCAGAATCCAGTGGGGAAGCGGGGTCACCCGCAGAACCCAGTGGGGAAGCGGGGTCACCCGCAGAATCCAGTAAGGAAGCGGGGTCACCCGCAGAAGCACCACCGGCCGCTGGAACTGCGGAGGATGAATGGATAGATGTTGCCTCTGCCGCCGGCACTGACCGAACCGAACTAAATGAGGAATGGGCGGCAGAAGATGGCTCAGAAAATCCGTTCCCCGACGGAAGCGCCTGCTGGTACTACAGCTCTACGGCGCAAAAGTGGTTCTGCACGAGGGTACTCTACCGCCATGAGAATGGCAAATACAAGCTGGCCATAAAGGGTGTTGCCGACATCGACCAGATGAGGCAGGTTATCCATGATCATGGCCAGCCAGAAGGCCCTCCGAGAGACCCTCCTGGTCCACGACCAGGCAAGGGCAGCAGACCACCTCCAAGACCTAAAGCCGACTCCTCATCGTCACCGACTCCTGCAAAAAGGCACTCGTCCAAGAGTCCCGAAGATACGCAGGGGCGGGCGAAGGTCAGGGCGGTCGCCAAGACGGACGACCCTGAGCCGGCAGATCCTCCTGGTCCATCGGTGACAGAGAGGAAGAAGGTCTTTGCTGGACCATCGACCCCGATGCCTCCAGCGACCCAAGGCGATGTCAAGGATGAAGTTCGTGACAAGCCTAAAGCAGCTTTCCGAGGTGACTGGACTCCAACGCTGCATCAGCCACGCCTTACACCACAACCCGGCTCGGCACGAATGAAAGCGCAGCCGAAGCCCGAAGCCGGGATGAGGTCGGTGCGGGCAGAAGAGGCCGCCAAGGCCAAGGAGGACAAAGGTTCTGCGGGGCCACCCGCTAAAGCGGCACCAGCCGCAACAGCGGGGACACCCGCAGGAAGTACTCTCTCAAGAGAAGAGCGTTTCAGAGTCCTCAAA